GCAAGCGTATGCATCTGCAGCATATACGATGTACAAGCATATGCGATGTGCAAGCATATGCGCTCTGCAAGCATATGTGCTCTGCAAGCATATGTATTCTGCAAGCATATGCGATGTGCAAGCATATGTGCTCTGCAAGCATATGTGATCCGCAAGCATATGCGATCTGCAAGCATATGCGGTATGCAAGCAATGCAGTATGCAAACATATGCGATCTGCAAGCATATGCGATCTGCAAGCATTTGGGATGTGCAAGCATATGCGATGTGCAAGCATATGCGATCTGCAAGCAAATGCGATCTGCAAGCATATGCGATCTGCAAGCATTTGGGATGTGCAAGCATATGCGATCTGCAAGCATATGCGATGTGCAAGCATATGCGATGTGCAAGCATATGCGATCTGCAAGCATATGCGATCGGCAAGCATATGCGATCTGCAATCAGATGCGATCTGCAAGAATATTATGCGATGTGCAAGCATATGCGATCTACAAACATATGCGATGTGCAAGCATATGCAGACCGGACCCGAACGAGAGCTAGGGCACCCTCGGGACCGCAGGGACCGCGCCTCGTCTGTCCACCGCGTCGCCGGTTCAACCCCTAGTGCGCCGTTTTTTTTTCTGCGCGCCGCTTTTTTTCTTTTTTTTCATCGTATGCTTCATGTGCTTCATATGCTTCATATGCTATGCTTCATATGCACATATGCACATATGCTTCATATGCACATATGCACGTATGCACATATGCATTGCGCGATTCAACGTACAATTAGCCGCGGGATTCAACGCGCGCTTTAGCGCATAATTTGATGCGCGTTTCAAAACGCGCATCATAACTTGATGCGCGTTTCAAAACGCGCTTCCGCGTCGGAATGAATGCCGTACACGCTTCATACAGCGCGATTCGCATAGCTCTAAACGCGCAATTCGACATGCAATTCAACGTACAATCAGCCGCGGGATTCAACGCGCGCTTTGTTGCACAATTCGATGCGTGCTTCAAAACGCGCTTCCGCGTCGGAATGAATGCCGTACGCGCTTTATACAGCGCGCTTCGCGCAGCTCTAAACACGCAATTCGACGCGCAATTCAACGTACAATTAGCCGCGGAATTCGACGCGCACTTTAGCGCATAATTCGATGCGCGCTTCATATGAATGCCGTACGCGCTTCATACAGCACGATGAATCTAGACCGCTGACTAGAAGAAATGCGCAATTCGATGCACAATTCAATGTACAATTAGCCGCGGAATTCGACGCGCGCTTTAGCGCATAATTTGATGCGCGTTTCAAAACGCGCTTCCGCGTCGGAATGAATGCCGTACACGCTTCATACAGCGCGATTCGCATAGCTCTAAACGCGCAATTAGACATGCAATTCAACGTACAATCAGCCGCGGGATTCAACGCGCGCTTTGTTGCATAATTCGATGCGCGCTTCAAAACGCGCTTCCGCGTCGGAATGAATGCCGTACGCGCTTCATACAGCGCGATTCGCACAGCTCTAAACCCGCAATTCGACGCGCAATCCAACGTACAATTAGCCGCGGAATTCGACGCGCACTTTAGCGCATACTTCGCACCTGAACACGCATTTCAAGTCCGCGTCGGAAGGATTGCCGTACACGCTTTATACAGCACAATTTCCGCTTGTAACCTTTGATCATTCTCGTAATTCTCCTTGAAATACGCTCGCGCTTTTTGCTCTTCCTATTGAGTTTCCGCTTATTTCGCAACTTTCCTTAACACCAAACTTCGCACACGTGTTCGCCTCGTTAGGTCGTTAGGTCTTTATGGCAGATCGGCCTCCTTCGAAGCGGCTTCGGCTTGGTTCGCTTGCAGACGGCATCCGTTGTGGGAGAACACGTCCGTTTAGTGATTTGTGCACTGACCAAGCACCTCAGCAGCGGCAGCATGCTGCATCACAGCAGACAGCCGCGCCAGCTAATTCAACAGGGTCCGCAGAGGGCCAGCAAGCGGTTGCTGCTGTTGACACACCGCTGGAGGAGCAGCAACAGGCTGCTGAACCTTCTGCTGCGGAATTACGGGCTAAATGGCGCCGGCAGAAAGCTGCACAGCGTGCCGCAGCCCCTCCTGAGTTGCGGGTGTTGCAGCGCCAGCAGGATGCTGCACGGCATGCAGCTGCACGTGCCGACCCGGAGGTGGGGGCGCAGCTGCGGCTGTATAACACTGCACATCACGCGGCTGCTCGTACCGACCCGGAGGTGAGGGCACAGCAACGGCTGCATGACACTGCACAGCATGCCGCTGCCCGTGCTGCTCCGGAGGTGAGGGTGCAGGAGCAGCTGTGAAACACTGCGCAGCGTGCCGTTGCCCGTGCTAATCCGGAGGTGAGGGTGCAGGAGCAGCTGCGGAACACTGCGCAGCATGCCGTTGCCCGTGCTAATCCGGAGGTGAGGATGCAGGAGCAGCTGCGGAACACGGCACAGCATGCGGCTGCACGGCAGGTGCAGCAGCATGACCAGCAGGCCGCCCCTAGGGATACAATATTGACTCGCATGCACCGTCTCTTGCGGTTCGCGGACCTTCATCGTGACGACGCCGTTGACTTGCCAGAATTTCTTTTGGCGATTCCAGAGGGCCGCATGCAGGACCTTCCTGGCGGTCAGTTACCGCCTGACAGGCAGGTACCGTACACCGTGCAGCTGCAGTGTGCATCGACCATGGCTGCTGCCTTGCGCCGGCGCATGCCCTCCCGTGTCTGTGCTGTGTGCTCTGAGGTGTGCTCGGAGGACCAGTCGACGGTGCTGCACTGGATAGAGATTCCCAACGTTGACATTTTACGTGCAGACGTCATGTGTACGGACGCTGTGCAGCGCTGGGGGCGTACTCTGGTGTGGCGGCGGATGGCACGTACAGCTCAGGGAGACGCACCACCGCCACCTGATCCAGTCCTGCCTGCTCGGTATCGTGTTAGCCGGGCTGAGCGGGCTGGTGCTGTGGATGAGGACGGCGGCAGTGCTAGTGGAGCAGGCAGGCTGGTGGATGATGCGGTGGACGGAGCACTGGACGTGGATGCTGGTGCTCAGGAGACTGGCGATCCGGATTTGATGACGGCTGAGCAGCAGCCCGAGCCCGAGCCCGAGCCCCAGCAGCTTCCACCGGATCAACAGCCGCGCCCCCCGCGGGTGCTGCCCAGAGCCTGCCTGGATCACCCCGCTAGTGTGGAGGTGCCCTATTGCATGCGTCTGGAGCCGGATCTGCCCAACCGCACTATGCTGGTTGGCGATGGTGCTGCAGAGCGCATATTCGTATGCAACGTCTGCCACAAAGCCCTTAGCGGTGAGTCGGTTGCTTCGTGCTCGCAAGCCGGTTGCCTAGTGCCTATGAGCTATGACTTCTGCCTGCGTTTCCTTGCTCCCTTCATCTGCGGCATGTACTTGTCCACCATAGCTTTCTTAGTCGTATCGGCTCTGCTTGCCCGTGTTTGCTCCTCTACTACAGCCCGGCGAGTCCCCGAAGCTGCGCTGGCGCGCCTGGACCTGGCGATGTGCCGTGCGTCAATCATCTGGGCGACCCTCTGCCGTTGCCCACTTTCTTGGAGGGGCAGCTTCTGGGCCGCGGCCGCATCATCCAGCAGCTGCTCATAATGTACCTGGCAGACCGGCCGCCGGACGTCTTTCCGCGTGCTGTAAAGACCCACGGCATTGGGGTCGTAAATCCCGACCCGAATATGCTGCGAGGACAGCTGCCAGCGTGGGCGTCCGACCTGGCCGGCGCTATCACGGTCGTGTGTGTCGACCAGGTTCACAGCCGGGCGGAGCTGCTGGAACGCGTGCGAAAGGCGCCAGGTCTACAGGTGCGAGGGCAGGTCATCGTCGCCTGGGTCCGTTTCTTACAGCACAACGATGAGGAGGAGCTGGCTATCGATGAGGATGCTCTGCAGGAGTACGAGCGCATGGGCTGTGCTGCAGGTGTGCCGGATGAAATCTTGCATGCCGCTCTTGCGCCTACAGATCCGGAGGTGGTGAACGTCCTCCGCACCACCTTCCTGCACGACCGCACGGGTGCGGCAGGTGTGCGGCAGTTCCAGGACGTGGTGGAAGCGGCTGTTCGTGATGGCAATCTTGCCGATGCAGCTGCGGCACCTGATGTGGATCCTGCAGGACCCGTGCAACCTACGCTGGCGGATCCGACCCCGAATGCAGGTGTGTTATTTTGTTACTGTGTTTATGCGAGCTGTTGTGTGCCCTCTGTTTTCGTGTTGCCCTCTTACTGCACTTTGTGCACCGGGCAGCCGCTGCCGCTGCTGCCCCGTGCATCAAGAGTGCGCTCCTCTTGTGCTGACTGATCTCGACCCGCTGGATAAGCTGGACTCTTGCAGCACCCTCGCCTGTCCTGCTAGTGATGTATCCTACTACTCCGCTGTATGTATTCTTGAGTGCAGGGCATGACCCTGGACCGGGGCCATTCACCGCCATCCTGCGTGGACCTGCCGACCAGCCAGTTGAAGGTGCACCAGGTGTGTGCATTCTCTTGCTTGGCTGAGCATAGGGCTAACGCATCTTCGCTCGTTTGTAACGCGTTCGAGACGCTTCGATTTCGCTTTTGTCCGGCCTATGCACACACCATGCTGCATTTACCGCCGTTGCTGCACCATGCTATCAGCGTGAATTGCATCCTGACCCAGCTCTTGCGCATCTGCTGTCTGCTCGTGCAGTCGATCCGGCAGCTGCCACTCTGGACGAGCTGGAGCTGATCCTGCCACAGCCGTCGAATGTTGGCAATGATGGCAGCGAAATCGACCGCTTCCCGGGCCGAGTGGAGGACCTTCTGACTGGCCGTGCGCGGCTTGCATTTGCGGCTGGTGGCCGTGACAGCCACGTGCTGGATGACCGTCATCCCGCCATCCTCACCCTCTGCTTCCCCCAGTCCTTCCCGTATGGCTTTTCTGGTCAGCGCCCCCGCGGCATGTCTTTTCCGGCATATTGTCGCCACCTGCTGCACCGCGTGCCGTGGACGCAATTCGGCGGCAATCTCATGCTGCTGGCACGCATGTACAACATCTGCGTGCGCCACGAAAGCATGGCGCAAGTGGGCATTACCATGAACATGCGGCCGCATCTTGGCGAGCCAGCAGCGCGTGTGCCGCGTGATGTCATCCGTGCTATGGGCACCATACTGGCGCTGCCATATCGGCACTCACAGCGGCGGCAGCTGCTTGTGCAGCAGTCGCCGCTGGTTAAGGCGCTGGTGGAGGGGGCCCGCCTCAGTACTCTGCGCCTCGACCTCACAGACGCGTATTACAATGGTGCCCGATCCAAGATGCGTGCAGCCGCCCTCACCATTGGCTGGCCCCCGCTGTTCTTCACCGTAAATCCGGCAGATATGCATGCAGCCTGTGCAGTCGTGGCCTCCGGACAGGTGTTGGACTTTGACGATGATGGACGACCGCAACATATCCCGAGCACGGTGGAGAAGTGGCGGCGCGTGAAGGATGACCCGTACAGTTGCGCCGCCCTGCTGGTGGCCACCAAGGAGGTTCTGGTGGAGGAGCTCTTCGGCTTCACGCCGGGCGCCATGCAGCAGACGAATCCGCACTGCTTCTGCGGCCTCACTTTTGAGGTGGCGGTCAAGGTGGAGCAGAGCGGCCGCCTCGCCCTGCACATCCACGGTGTTGCGCATGTGGCCATGTTCGCAGTCGAGCGCCTTCAGGCGCTGTTCAGTGGACCCAACTGCCGAGCGCTGGCCCTGGCATACACCCTGTGCGCCATGTGGTATCCCTCGCCGTACTATGACCCTTTCACCCGCGGTGCAGAACACTACGTCATGGACATGACCGTCGAAGAGGCCCAGCAGCATGGCCGTGCACCTCCGCCCGTGGACAAGTCCTGCCCGCCTGCAGCGTACGATTTTGGCAGGCTCGCCGGCTGTGCAGGTGGCGGGCTCCCGCCGCCTCCCCGGCACGCTGCTTGCCGCACACACCATGCAGCCGTCATTCGCAGCACGCTTACTCATACGCATAACGACACGTGCAAGCGACACGGCTGCCGTGGCACAGATGATAGCTGTGGCATGGCGTTCCCTCGTGTCCTGCGCAGCGCCTTCCAGTGGATTGGCACCGGTGGCCTCTTCCTTCTGCCGCGATTGGGCCCGAACATCATACCGCACATGCCAGCTGCAGCGCTGGCCTTCGGGTGCAACCAGCTGTTTACTCTGGCGTGCGAGGTGGATCGCGTCTACACGGCAGAGGCAGCAGCACAACTGGCCCGCCCTGAAGATGAATGGGGAGACTGTACGCTGCTGCAGCCTGCTGCTGACCGCGCCCGCGACTCTGCCTACTACAGCACGAAATACACTGGCAAGAGCATCAACGACAGCCAGGTGCAGCTGACGTGCAACACTCTTACCCGAGTGCAGGATTTCCTGCTGGCTGGAAGGACGCCGGATCCGAGTGCCAGTGGGCCCACCGCCTTTGGCAACATGTGTGCCACTGTGCATCGCATGACCGCTTCCATTACGGCTGGTATGGCGCTTGTCGCCATGAAGCTGGACGGTCATTCCACATTCGAGGCGACGTTCGAATGCGCATACCTGCAGGTAGACGCGTTCACAGCGCTATCTGCGGGCGCCGAGCAATCTCCTGAGGCGGCGACCACAGCAGCAGTACTGGTGGAGGCTGAGGAGCAGGAGGGGTACACGGTGACCAACGCCGTGCAGAGCTACGTGCTGCGGGGGGAAGAACTCAGCGGCCTGGACTGCAGCGTATACAACCTATCCTCCAACTATGAGGTTCGACATGTGCCGCCAGCTCAGCACCCGCACCGAGAGCGATTGGGTCTACAGATTCCGGTGGCAGTTCGACGCCGCAAGCGCACTACCCCAGCCACACCCATAACCGCCCCTGTGCCTGCCCCTGTGCCTCTGCCGACTGCAGCCCCTCCTCCTGAGCCACCTGCTCCTACAGCTGCAGCGACACTCGACCAGCCAACGTCTCAGACAGCCACGGAGCTGCCCCGCCTGGTGGCCTTCCACAGCACACATCCGCTGTATAGAACACATGTCCACGTCCGCCTGCCGCGGCCGTGATATGTACAGCTTGGAGGCTCCCTTCCCCGCCGACCCCGTCCTGGCACCTCTGCTGCGGGCATGGCGCAGTACTATGCATTTGTCCTGGGTACTTTCAAAGCTCACCAGGGTCAGCCCATCTCCCCCGGGCTGACTGTAAAGGAAGCCTACGACACCTGGTGGGCAGAGCTGGGCACTACTGAGGCAGGTCGCTCGTACCAGGTGTATGTATCGGTGCTGCTGGACAACATCGAAGAGGACCACGCTGGGAAAGCCCGCCGTCAGGCGGAGTACAACCAGCGGCGCCGACAGCAGCGTGCGGCAGCGGCAGCAGCCGCGCTGCCTGAAGGTGACGGCACAAGCACTTCTGATGGCGATACCGATGACGGCATCCGCGGGCATCTCAGGCCTGATCCTGAAACACAGCCGCCCGCCGACGACCAGCTGGAGCACTTTGTGTACATCCCAGGTCAGGAGTATCCGACGGCTGGCACCGATCTTGCCACCGTCGCTCTTATGGACCTGTTTGACTGCACCAACGCTGCTGGCGCGTATGCCTATGATGCAGCACGGTGCTGCCGAGCCCCGGCCCTAGTGGACGGCCATGGTGCACGCAGCGATCGTTTCAGCCGTCGGATCACGCCAGCGGACCTGCCCCTCCTGACTGAAGCGACCAAGCGTCTGAAGCGGTATCTCGTTGCAGCAGCAGCCGGCACTGTTGAGGCAGATGGAGGCGCCCACACGGGACTGACGGCCACACCTGAGATGGATACCCCTCACATCGAGCTGCACCGCCCCGCCAGCGGACCCCTGGTCGCCATCGTGCGCATGCCTGGCACTCCTGAGCGGACTGAACAGGCTCGCATGCCCCTCTATGTGCATCTCCCCCAGCCGCCCAGCATCGACAACACCATCGAGCTGTTCACGCTTGCCCCCCACCAGGCCGTGCCCTTCATGCTCATGGCTCGGTACTTCGATCACCGTGATGAGCCCAACCCTGGCGACCCGCCGCAGATGCTTGTGGAGGGCAAGCCCGGTACCGGAAAGAGCCAGTTCGTACAGGCGCTCCTGTGGTACACATTCCAGCATGGCTGCCCGCACTGGGCGGCCACCTGCGCCTACTCATGGGCTGCTGCAACTGCCTTCAGCACGCCGGTGCATCGCAGCCTCTCTACCCACGCCATGTTTGCTTTATCTGCTGGCAGCAACCGAGCGGACAGCGTCAGGAAAGGCAGCGCAGCCAGCCTACAGGTGCATCGTAATGTCGGCGATGGTGCGCTCATCATCGACGAGATTGGCATGAACAGCCTGGACCACCTGGGTGCGTGCAACCAGTCCTGCACTCGTCACCTGTTGCCGCCACCGCATCTCGGCGGCGACCACCCCGCCGCCACCATCTTCAGCGGCCGTCCCAGCGCCAACACAGGCGACGAGTTCCAGCACCCAAAGCCAGGTGGCCCGCCCCTTTACCGGTACGCCGCTGCTGTGGAATGCAACCCTCAGTTCTCGCCCTCTGTCCCAACCGCGCAACCTTTGCACGGAGAGGAGGACAATGATGGCGACCCTAATGAGGCCGCCGCTGGATCTCAAGGCGGTCAGCAGCAACCCGAAGTAGCAGCACGCCGGCCCCGGGCCGTCCCGCAGACTCAGAGCTGCATACTTGAGGGCTTCCGGGTTTACCGATCCCTGGCTAAGACGGTCTTCTTGCTGGAGAAGCAGCAGCGCCAGGACAGCAGCCCCTCTGGCCGTCGCCTGACAGAGTACGCCTCTATGTTTGGCGGTGAGCCAGCCACCGAGCAGCGCATAGCCGAGATGGTCGACGACCTCAACAGCCGCGCCATCGTCGACTTGGCCGACCTGGCACACCTCGAGCCGCGCGTCGTGCTGCAGAGGAACGAACCACGCCACACACTCAATACCCGTCTCATCATGCTGGAGGCACAGCGCAAGAATCAGCGCCTTGTGGTGTGGAATGCGGACCACGTCCCTGTCCAGAAGCGCGGTGCTGCTGCAGAGCCGGCCCTGACACACGTGGAGAAAGCAGTTGTGATGCGGATCAAGGATCACGAGTTTGGCCACACCACCGCCGACACGTGGTACTACCATGGCGCCCGATACATCCTGCTTGATACGACAGCTGCCGATGCCGGGGCGAGCCACAACAACGAGGTGGAAGCCTGCGGCCTGCTTGAGGATGGCCGCGAGCCAGCAGATGACGGCCGTGGCCCCTACCGCCGACTCAAGTACCTTCCAGCGGCCGTCATTGTCCGGCCTATAAGCGGCCACATCCCCGACACCGTGCTGCAGGGCCTTGGAGACTACGCCAGCAGGGGTGGTGCCTTCATCCTGTCACCCCGGGCGTCTTGCATTGCCGAGGTGGAGATGCCTGCCGCCGGGTATGGCACCATCACAAAGCAGATCCGGCGCCTCAACGTACCGCTCGGCGACCGCCAGGCGGTCACCGATTACTTCGTGCAAGGTCGCAGCTTCAAAGACGAGTGCTGGCTGGTGGATCACGCTGTCCCACCCAACGGCATCAAGCGCGCCACCCTGTATGTGCTGCTGACCCGCTTTAAGACGCTGGACCACGTCCGTCTGCTACAGCCGCTTTATACCACGCCACATGAGCGCAAGAGGATAATCAGACAATTCCTCAGCGCGACTAACCTCGAGCCGGACCTCGCCGCCAACCTGCGCCTGCTGAAGCAGGCAGCACGCGAGACGGAGCAGCGATATACGGCCGAGTTTGAGCATGCGCGACAGCTGGAAGCACGCTGGACCTGCCCAGCCCAGGGCTAGTTGAGTTGAGTTGAGTTGAGTTGAGTTGAAACCGCGACCCGCCACTGTACGGCGTTAAATGACAGCGTCCGGGGTAAGGGGGACACCCCGGACGACATGCTCGCTCCATACGGGAAGGAATGGGGAGCCGCCCACCATTGTCTGGAGCCCCCTGCGGGTTCGACTCCCGCGCGAGCGTTTCACAGCCTAAATTCGCGTGCTAGACTCCGCAAGCTTAATTTTCTTCCGCCTTTGTATAATTTACTTCTTGTGTGTGACCATGCTGTTCGCGCGAGTGGGCCGTAGCTCCGCAGCAAGTAGCAAGCGGCCCTTAGAAGCACGGCACATAGTGGTTCCGCGCAATGCAGGATCGCCGTAGCTCATATGTTATGAGCGGAGGCCTATCCCGAGTTCGATGGTTGTCCGTCCGGTTGTCCGTCCGGAGAGTTTTGGAAATTCCGGGTCGGGAGCGTGCCGTACGCGCTTAAGACCGCGCCAAAAAGAACGGGAGGTCGCCGGTTCGATCCCTACCGCGAACCATGTTTTATTATGTTTCATATGTGCATACATGCATATATGTATATGCGATATGCAGCGATATGCAGCGATATGCGATATGCAGCGATATGCAGCGATATGCGATATGCAGCGATATGCGATATGCGGTATGTGATGATATGCGATATGCCATATGCAGCGATATGGGTGCGATATGCAATATGCGATATGCGATATGCGATATGCAATATGCAATATGCAATATGCAATATGCAATATGCAATATGCAATATGCAATATGCGATATGCGATATGCAATATGCGATATGCGATATGCAATATGCGATATGCGATATGCGATACGCAATATGCGATATGCGATATGCAATATGCGATATGCAATATGCAATATGCAATATGCGATATGCAATATGCAATATGCGATATGCAATATGCAATATGCGATATGCAATATGCAATATGCGATATGCAATATACGATATGCGATATGTTATACATATGCGCATGCATCTGCATTATGCAAGCATACACAGTCTGCAAGGATGTGCCATATGCGATCTGCAAGCATATGACATATGCGATCTGCAAGCATATGACATATGCGATCTGCAAGCATATGACATATGCGATCTGCAAGCATATGCCATATGCGATCTGCAAGCATATGCCAAATGCAAGCATCTGCCAAATGCAAGCATTTGCGATCTGCAAGCATATGCGATATGCAAGCATATGCGATATGCGATCTGCAAGCATATGCTATGCTGCGCAATGCTATGCTATGCTGCGCAATGCTATGCTATGCTATGCTATGCTATGCTATGCTATGCTATGCTATGCTATGCTGTGCTGTGATCTATAAGCATATGTGATCTGCAAGCATATGCGACCTGCAAGCATATGCCATATGCGATCTGCAAGCATATGCCATATGCGATCTGCAAGCATATGCCATATGCGATCTGCAAGCATAT